GTCAATAGATACCTCAGTAATATGTTTCTTCCAAAATAATGTAGGAATAAAATAATCTTTCATAAAGGCTTGCAGTTTTTGGGATCAGCTCTTACTGAATGTAGCAAACTTCAGAATTAATGTGCTTTATTAACCAGCACAGAATACTACAGATAAATGCAACTCCAGAAATCTGTTTAGTACTCGTTTCAACAATAACCATAGGTACTCTTTCTACTTAAATTTAGGAGGAAAAAAGCTATTAGGGCATAAGTATCACTCTTCAAAACTAACCAGAAAAAAACAAAACAGGAAAAAGTTGCCTTTGAAACTTAACTGAAAAAAGTATGCATTTGACTGGAAAAAGAAGTGCTTGTCATCATACACTGTCATGGTTATTTTTTTATAACGCAGTAACATAAGAGTTTAAAAGGTATTTATAACAATTGTAAAAAAAAAAAAAAATCCACCCCCATTAACATTGGCCCTCACCTTTTCACCCTTTCTTCAAGCTTAATAGTAATAATATCACTCCCATACCTAGATTATTATATCATCTTCCATTAATAACAGTTTCTCAGAGACTCAACTAGATTAGGAATTTGTAACAGTACAAATCACCATCATGGGTTTACAGACCCATGTATATGAACACTTTCATAGAACCCTATAATCATTTAGGTTGGAAAAGACCATTAATATCATCACCCCCAACCATAAACCTAGCACTGCCACGTCCACTGCTAAACCATGTCAAGTGCCACACCTATACATCCTTTAAATACCACCGGGGATGGTGACTCCACCTCTTCCTTGCGCAGCCTGCTCCAATGCTTGACAACTCTTCTGGTGAAGAAGTATTTCCCAATACCCAATCTAAACGTTCCCTGGCACAGGGAGGCTTGAGACCATTTCCTCTTGTCCTACTGCTTGTTACCTGGGAGGAGAGCTAGCACCCACCTTGCTCCATCCTTCTTTCACGTAACTGTAGAGAGCAGTACTCAGCCTCTCCTCCAAACAACCCTGGTTCCCTCAGCCATTCCTTATAAGAATTGTGATCCAGACCCTTCACCAGCTTTATTGCCCTTCTCTGGACAGGCTCCAGCATCTCAATGTCTCTCTTGTAGTGGGGGGCCCAGAACTGAACACAGTATTCAAGGTGTGGCTTCACCAGTGACAAGTACATGGAAATGATCACTACCCTGGCCTGCTGGCCATACTATTTCTGATACAGGCCAGGATGTCACTGGTCTTTTTAGCAGCCTGGGCATACTTCATGCTCACCTTCAGTTGTCTGTCCACCACCATCCTCAGGTGCTTTTCCACAGGCCACCATTCCAGCCACTCTTCCCCAAGCCTGTAGCATTGTATGGGGTTATTGTGACCAAAGTGGAGGACCTGACACTTTGCCTTGTTGAACCTCCTAACACTGGCCTTAGCCAATCGATCCAGGCTGTCCAGATCCCTCTGCAGAGCCTTCCTACCTTCAAGCAGATCAAAACTCCCACCCAACTTGGTGTCATTTTCAAACTTACTGAGGGTGCACTCGATCCCATCATCCAAATCATTGACAAAGATACGAAACAGAACTGTCTCAAATACTGAGCTGAGAAACACCACTTGTGATCAGCTGACAACTGGATTTAACTCCATTCACCATAACTCTATGGGCCCAGTCATCCAGCCAGTTTTTTACCCAGCAAAGAGTACACCTGTCCAAGCCATGAGCAGCCAATTTCTCCAGGAGAATGCTGTGTCAAAGGCTTTACTGATGTTTAGATAGACAACAGCTACAGCCTTTTTTTCATCTACTAAGCAGGTCACCTTGTCACAGAAGGAGATCAGAAGAGTCAAGCAGGACTTGCCTTTTACCAACACAGGCCAACTGGGCCTGATCTCTTGGTTGTCCTGTATGTGTCACATGATGGCACTCAACATGATCTGCTCCATAGCCTTTTCTGGCACCAAGGTCAGACTGACAGGTCTGTAGTTACCTGGATCCTGCTTCCAGCCCTTCTATAGATGAGCATCACATCTGCTAACTTGCAGTCAGCTGGGATCTCCCCAGTTAGACAGGACTGCTAATGAATAATTGAAAGAGGCTTAGTGAGCACTTCTGCCAGCTCCCTCAGTACCCCTGGGTGGACCCTACCCAGCCCCACACACCTGTGTGTGTTTAAGTGGTGTAGCAGGTTGCTGACCATTTCCCCTTGAATTATGAGGGCTTCATTCTGCTCCCCGTCCCTGTCCACAAGCTCAAGGGGCTGGGTACCCTGAGAACTAGTCATACTATTAAAGAACAAGGCAAAGAAGGCATTAAGTCCATCAGCCTTTTTACTCATCCTTTGTTACTACGTTTCCTGCCATGTCTAGTTTCCTTAGCCCTCCTTTTGGTGCTAATGTATTTATAGGAACATTTTGTCTTTCATGGCAGTAGCCAGATTAAGTTCTAGTTGGGCTTTGGCCCTTCTAATTTTCTTCCTGCAGAACCTCATGATATCCTTGTATCATCCTGAGTTGCCCACCCCTTCTTCCAATGGTCATAAACTCTTTTTTTCCTGATGTCCTGGGTTCAGTCTTTTGAGAGATATTATTATTTACCTTGAATAAGTAAGTTTTAAATAGTTTGAGTCAGTGTTATTATACTGTGTGGTTTAGAATGCTGTTTGCTTAGCTTTACTTGCGTACCATGAGCAGCTAAATTTACTGAAGCCTTAGGCTGTAAGCTGTGGACTTTCACCTAGATATGCTTTCAGCTGGAATAGAGTTAGCTTTCTTAGTAATTTTCCTAGAAGATGGTACAGTACTGTGTTTTGTCTTTAGTATAAGAAGAATCTTGTTAATACTGATGTTTTAGCTATTGCTAAGTAATGTTTATCCCAGACTTAGGACGTTTTCAGTGTCCTGTGCTCTGGCAACAAGCAGGTGCACAAGAAGCACAAATCAGAAAAGGGCTACCACTGTCAGCAGAAGCTGCAACTGAACAAGGTAAGAACAGTTAACGACCTACCTGTATGAAGACAACAGTAACATAAGACCCTAGACCAAAATATAACCATAAGATAAAAAAAAGGCACATGAGGAGCAGGTGCATAAATCACAACAGTCCAATTGCCCAGTGATGTCTTTGTTCAGGGTTCATCTCTGGAGGTACCCAGTTTTGTTTGTTTTTGGGGGTTCTTTTTGGTTTTTGGTGGTTTTTTTTGTGTGTGTGTGTGGTTTTTGTTGTTGTTGGTTTTGGTTGGTTGTTTTTTTTGTTGCTTTTTTTTTCTGTACCACTCAATTATTAAATTATTTTTTCCTGGAATCAAATGAGTGAGACTGCTGCAGGAAATCTAGGATCAAGCACAAAGGAGTAGGAATCATGTCCAAAAGTGAGTATGTATGTGACTGAGGGGTGGAAAGGGGCACTCCTCAGTTCACTGGAGCTGCCCGCTGCAAAGGAGCTCTGGTCTTAGCAGTTAAAGTCCCAGGTATTGTGAGGACAACTCCTCGAATGGTGTGTGAATGCTTGGGCAGCAGAGTCTCCCTAACACAGCCAAAGCTGTGTGAGCCAAAGCTCTGCTCAGCCAGGCTTCTTCCTTGCCAGCTCATCTGTCAGCACATGTGGATGATGATTATTGCCTTTAGATGGTGATTACTGCCTTTAGAACATAGTGTTTGGAAAGAAGGATGCATATTAATTACATGTTTTTCTGCAAAAAAATGTTTATCTAGGCCACTGGCTCCCAAAGATAAAGCAACTGACAATCCCTTCCTAAGAAGTTTTCCCTTAATTAGTATTAGGGGCCAATTTTTCTCTAAGGTAAACATTAGCACATATTTCACAAAACTAAACTCTTGGTTTGCTGTTTAATTAATCTGCACTTCTATTACAACAGAAACACAGGTACTAAAATAAAACCAAAGATATTAACCAATGGTGTTGTAACAAAAATGTCAAAATGCCAGGGATTCATAGGGATCAACTCTCAGCACATAGGTAAGATTATAAGGACTACGAAGCAGATAATGTTAAAATCCCTCCTAGATCAGTGCAAAGAGCTGTCTGGCTTGTTATCCCCAGGAGGGAGCCGAAGCAGATGTTTAGAGAAAGCATGTACAAAATGGGGCATGGCTCTGTAATCCAGGTAGTCAGGTTTGCAATCTATTGATTTTGAAGATGCAGATCACCTTGCTTATGAGTAACCAATTGTCTTAACTCTCAGGAAAGCATCCAAAACATTTCTGATCCCATTTACACTTCTGTTGTTCATGATCTCTTATCACATGAGAGTCACAATTTAAAACATACAGAACATCTTAAAAAAGAGTGAATAAAAAACCTAGTACTTCATTTACATAGCCCTTCAAAACAAGTCTTTTTTTTTTTTTTTTTCATGTTGGCCAGAATTCTATAGCTCAAAATGACTTCCACCTCCACCAAGTTCCTTTTTTATAGAAGTCCTACCATATGTACTCTCTTTTTACAGAGGCTGCTCTACTAACTTCGGTCATTCTTGTCACTGTTTTAGCTCCCTTTTTAGTGCCAGATGCTCAGAACCATATGTCCATGTGGCACTGCTGCAGTATTCCCTCCCTGCTGCTCTAGAAGCAAAGCACCGAACAGCCTATTTCAGAAAGCTGTTCCCCACCACACTGCGTACAGCAGTATTTAACTCAGAGCTCAAGTTGATTTTCCCCACACATAACCTTCGCTTTTATTATTGCTGAATTCCACGTTATTTCCTACTGATTGCTGCTTTATTACCACAAAGACGCGCGAGGAAACGATGGATACTGCTCTGTGCCTCCCTTCTCGGCTATCGCTCCGACCCTCCCCGAGAAAACAGACACCCGCAGAACCACCCTCGTCCTGCACGCCTGAGCTGCGAGCCGGGCCTACCCGCAGTCCTCCGATCCTCACCTCACCGCGCTCCCTACACCCCCACCCGGGACCCCTTACGGAAGAGCGGCGGAAGGAGCCAGAAGAAACGCGGAGGAGCGCAGACCCGACTCTCCTGTCCCCTCGCCCAGCTCACCCAGGCACACAAAAAGCACCGACTTCACCTCCCCAGCCGCCATCTTCGTTCAGCCGCCATCTTCGTTCAGCCACCCGCAGAGAAAACCTTCCCGACTGTCGTGCAGCCTGCGCCACACTTTACGGCACCGGACGTTACAGCCATCTACGTTTTTTGCCTGATTTGAGTCAAAATTAAAAGGGGTAAACTGTGGCACTATACGGAGCACTCGCGCATGCAGGGGAGAGACCAGGACCGGGACGGGGACGGAACAGGACGGGACGGAACGGAGCCGCGGGCGGGCAGGCGGTTTGTGGACGGCTCGGCCCTGTCCGGCTCCGCCCGGCCCCGCCCGCCTCACCTGCGGCAGGTGCGCGGCTTTGTGGGGCCGCCCTTGCGCAGTCCAGTGCCGCGGCGCTGAGGAGGAGCGAGGTGAAGGGAAGTGGGGGCGCTTTGGCCCAGGCAGGAGTGAGTATCGTTGTGGGGGCAGGTGGGCTCCTCAGCGGGGGAACCGTGGGGGGGGGGCTTCCGCCCTCCTCGGCTGTTGCTCGGGCTTCCCCCGCTGAGGCGGCGGCTCCCTCGCTCTCCTCCCGGGTAGCCGGATCAGTTGGTCCGGCGGACCAGGCTTGGTGTACTGGGGGGAAGCCCCTCGCCTCCCCTATAGCTGCGAGAGGCACCCAGAAGGGGTGACAATAGGCTACAGGGCCAGTCAGCCCCTGGCGGGCAGCTTGGGTGGCTGCCCCCGGTCAGGCTCTTGCCACAGATCAAGCAAACAGGCGAGCAACAAGTAATTTTCTCATTAATTTGCCATCTCTCCCAACGTTGTGGCATGTAGTGCATCTTCCAAGAAGAAATTTCAGAGGTGCCAAATCCGGTGTCGACCTCACCAAGCTGCTGGTGAAGTTAAGAACGCACAAATGCTTTGTTTTCCAGAAAAGGTTGAGCGTTGTTTTTTTTTTTTTTTGTGCGTGGCTTCTCCTGTAGGGTTATCCATGTACCTGACTGCATTCTGCAACGCTGGCTTTGCAATGGTAAGGTGTGGCCAGGGCTGGATTCCTCTGCTGCTTTTATGGCTTGTTTACCTTGGTTTTCAGTCAAAATGAAGCTCTTTGGAGGTTAAACAAAAATACCAGGTTCTGAAAATTGTGCCAAATCTTTGGCTTACACATGAAAGCAATGATTAAGTAACCTTATAACCTGAAAAGCTTATATAACATATTTTCAGTTGAGTGGAACAGATAGCACATTTCCTTTTATAGAACTTCATATGCTGACCTGCATATGTCACTTTTGTGTTTGTTTGTAAATGCAGTTGTACAACTGCATTTTTTAAATACTTATTTTACTTGGAAGTGCAATTACTGGTAATCAGAAACATTGATTCTCTATCCATCGCTCCCCTCCCTGTGCACTGCAGCATTCTGCTGTCTCACAGGCCTGCTTGCTGGTGTGAGGATTGTGAGGTGGTGGACCCCAAAGGGGGCTGTGGCACTGCTCAGTTGTCAGATGTGGCCTCAGCAAAGGAGGGCAGGGTGAGGTGAGTCAGTTGTGTAATTCTCACACGTAGCTCTGCCATGTTACACAACCAGAGCAGCGTAGATTGCCTTTACCCCTGCTTTCTATCAGGTGGAGTGCCTTGAGGTGTCAATAGAGGAAGCAGATTCGCTACCAACTTCCTATGCATGTGTGGGTCAGGGGAGATTGAAGCTATATATAGAAGCAGATGCTTTGAAAGACCATTCTGGAGGTTTTCTAAACCCCAGTATCTGTGTGTGTATGTAATATGTAGGTGTATGCCTAGCTCTAACTTTGAGATGAAGTATTTCATTTTTTGCAGTCCTGGGGAGGATTGTTATCTTAAGCATTCTCCTGCATTCTCAGCCCTCAGCAGGGGAAGAGAGTCACAGTCTGTACCTTCTTCAATTAACATCAAATTCATACCTTTGGAATGAACTGTAACAGAATTCACTGTTGTTCTTTGTCTTATATCATGGTTTCTCACCACTAAGAATTCATATTTCTGATGTTTCTCTCTGTATTTCTGTTGGGTTTTTTTTAGACATCCATTACATTGTTATAAACAAGCCTGTAACGCAAGGCTACTATGAAGAACAGTATGACTTTGTGGGAGAGGAGTGCTATTGTGAGCAAGACAATCTAAAAGCTTAGGTAGAATGAGGGTTTTTCAAACCCTTGAATAACAAATATCAAGCACTTATTTTTCTTTAATGTTTATTCCTTTTATTTAGAAGAAATTTCCTGTCTGATTAATTGTAGAAATTAATTCATTGTGGGAATTGGTAATTTCTTAGATTTGATGCATGCACATAGAGAATCGGGACATCTATGAAGTGGGGGCATGAGAAGGTCAGGATGATAGTGATGGTTTTACTGGTAGAAGTGTTGAATGTTTTATGCAGTAAATAACTGGAGTCTGTATTTTCTTAGTGTAGCTAATTTTTTTTTCATGTAGGTTATTATTTTAACAGACAGGACTATCACATAGTACACATTGGGGTTGTCATAAGTTACATGTTTGTGCTCTCTATGCTTCTATCCCTGGTGAGGATATAAACGATGTTTTTTTAAGTTTTTTTTTTTTTCTGAAAAACAAGACTTTGTTTTGGAGCTTCTTCCACAGAGGTTAATGTACTTGTTTACAGGCTTGGATCACCCTGAAGTTTATTCTTCATGATTAAAATGAAGTTAGCAAGCATAAATTGGGATTCCCTTTGGTGTTTCTCCCTTAATCCCATATATAAATTTCCTATATCATGCCAACTCTTGTATTGACACAAGGAGAGACAGGCAGAACTGAATTCCTAGCTTTGACTTAGCTTTGGCTATGCTGCGTATCTTGCTTGGTGGGCAGCACCCAACCCCTTTGGTACCAACTGTTCACACATCAAACATATTACAAGTGTATGTGGAAGACTTGCTAAAAGGGTTTCACGTAGACAGTTTCCCAGGGCCTGGGTGGCCGGGTGGATAGGTGTGGCATGTTTTGAACAAAAGCTTGCAATTCTTGTAGTGCAAACTATTGGAAGAGTTCACTTGTTAGTCTCAGACAACCCCCAGGGTAACTGCCTTTGGTGCTTGTTGTAGAGCATACCACTGGCTCTATTCTTGAAAATGCTGTTTTCTGACTATCTTTGCACAAACTCAGTGATTTCTTCTTCATGACCCTTGTGTTTATCCTCTTTCCTAGTGCAGAGGCTACAATTTAGTTGGACTCTTGTAATTGCTAAGTTACAAAGATTTTTGAAGACTTTTAGCTACAGGTGTTCGCTGCTCTGCCTCCCATAGAGTTGAACAGATGTCTGGTGTGTTTTTTGGAGCAAATCCTCTGATTCAGCTGTACCTCCTGCAGTTAGCGACTGTCTTCATATGCCACAGTGCCTTAAAAATTAGGAGCCATTACCTAGTTGTAACATCTTGCATATACAAAGGGAATGCGTTTTTCTTCAAAGTGCATTGTTCAGCTATGCCAGTATCATTTAACTCTCATCTAACTTAGCTCTCATAAGAAAGTTCATCCTTCTAGGAGATCAGAGGAAATTCACCATCTGTAGAATTTCCTCCAAGATGACTTAAGTAACAGCTAGGAACCCAATTCATCAAATGCTTTTGATGATGTGGGTGGATTTGTATGTTACAAGTTTTTGATCTGGAGTTACTTTTTCAATTCCAAATTCGGTAGATTTAGATTAGATATTAGCCAAAAATTCTTTCCTGTGAGAGTGGTGAGGTACTGGCACAGGTTGCCCAAAGAAGTTGTGACTGCCCCATCCCTGGCAGTGTTCAAGGCCAGGTTGTATGGGGCTTGGAGCAACCAGGTCTTGTGGAAGGTGTCCCTGCGGGTGGTAGGGGGGTTGCAGCTACATGATCTTTAAGGTCCCTTCAAGCTCCAAACATTCCATGATTCAGGATCGATACCCCGTTAAGTTTTGTGTTTATGTTTACACTTTGTGTTTGGATAAGTCCTTTCCTCTTAATTGAAAAAAGTAATTAAGAATATGCACACAAAGAAACTGTGGGCATGGGAGCTTTTGCCTGTTGTAGGGTTTCTTTAGCATTAAAAAATGGGTATTCTACATGAAAAATAATAAGCTACCATGGTGTAGAAGTACTTATATAATTGGTAGCAGAATGCAAAACGGCAGCTTGTCTACACCGGCAGCTGACCAAAAATCTTGTATGCTTTTGGACACTATACATGACAATATTCACACTAATATAGCTAACACGCTTAAATACTTTTATCACATTTCATACAATTTAATTTATTCAGATAGCCCATGCAGAGGCTAAGTTTATTTTTGGATGTATTATTTTATGTAATTACTGTATTTAAAAAAAATCTTCTTTGCTTTCAGATATGTCATTGACTAATATCTCAGTTTGTATGTCTGTAAGCTTGAGTTTACAAAACCCCTGTGCTGAGAGGACAGCAGCCTAAAGACTTGACCAGGAAGGAGAAGTTTTCTCCATTAAAAAATTCATAGCAGAAAGCACAAAGTTACGTGCTTCTAAAAGCATCAAAGAGCAACTTGCCTCAGAATACCAGCTAATAGTAAAAGTAGTACAGGTGTGGGCTGGGGGTGAGGCACTTTCCATCTCCAGGTTCAGAGTTACTACATTTAGAAGCTTCCAATAATACTAGCTTCCTTCAAATTATCTTCAGAGGTATTTTGATTTCCATAATTCAGGGTAACATACTGCCAAAAAGCACCAAAACCAACCAACAAAAAAACCTAACAAAACTTTAACCCAAACAGAAAAATCAAACAAACCTACAGGCTTGCAGAGATGAGAGCAAATGAATAAATGTGCTTTTTATCTCCATTGCTTCATTTCTATCAGTGGAAAGGCTTCTGTGTTTCAAGTAGTTCCTTTTTGAATAAAGACTTGTGATTGTAGTAGATTTTGGTTTGACTTCATACTGTGTATTTGCGTACCAAAATCCAAATATAAATGTCTAGGTTTCTTGTTATTTTCTGAATTCTTAGCTGTCATGGATTAAGCACACAGATGCAATGCAAGATTCCATATAAGTTTTCAAAAGTACTAATCTTTAAAATGGTATTTGTCATTCCCCCCCCCCCCCCCCAATTACTGTAAATACATAAGTATATACACAGAGGTAACTTTGGAAATATAAGCTTCATAAATTCAAGAATGATTTCTTTTTATAGCCCTCTCCCCGATCCAATAAAAGAATAAATCTTCAAAATACTGTAAATAGCTTTATGTAGTGATAGAAATGTCTGTGAGATGCTGATTTTAAGAAATATAAATGTCAGTCTTTTTTCCTTTTATAGAAGGTGCTGACTTTTGGTGTGTGACATTGCTTTTTAATATTTGAGTTCTTGAAGGCTGAATTTAGTTGCAACTTTATTTTGCTCATGAGGTTTTTCCTGTGTGCAGGATATCATCAATGGCTAACTTTAGTAGGTTATTGCAGGTAC